TTCATCTTCTCCTATTGAGATGTTCGAGTCTGTTGCCCAAAACATTGCTGCTGGGACACCTGTCTCTGAGTCAGAAGTGAAAGCCTGGCTCATCTCCTTCCTCCTCCCCAGCGGGTAAGAAGGCTTCGCTTTCTTCATCGCCCCCTATCTCTGACTCTATCAATCAATCCTCTCCTGTTTCGGTGGTAGAGCCCCCTGTTCCTGCTGTTGAGGTTTCTTTGGCCTGCGCTTCCCTCTCGGTTGCTGCCCTTGCTGAGGTGCGCTCCCCTCCTCCTGCCCCTCCTACTCCTCCTGCTGTCCTAGACTGCCCCTCTCTGTTGTCTCCTCTCCTCTTCCGGACTCTGCTCATCCACCTCTGGTCTGTCCTTCCACTCCCTTCCCTCCATCTTTACTCAATTTACCCATGCCCTCTAACCCTGACTTTGCTGACCCTGATCGTGACTCTGAGCTTCTTTAAGTGCTGTGTTTCTTTTTCGCCTCTGTTTCTTCATTGTTCTCTGTTGCTGTCCTTTCTCTTTTTGTCGATGTCTCTTCTTCAGTGGAACAATCGTGGATATTACTCCAATTTCCTTGACATCGAACTTCTAATTTCACAGTTTTCGCTCCTTTGTGTCTGTCTCCAGGAGCCGATGCTTGGTACTCGTCCTGGTCGCTTCCGTGGCTATTCCATTCTCTCCTTCCCCCCCAGCTGTTGCTGGGGCCCATAACTCTTCTGCTCTCGGTGATTCACTCTGATATTCCCTTCGTCCCCTTACTTTTCCCATCGCCTCTCCAATGTTCTGCTTCGCGTGTCTTTGTGCGTAAATGGTAGACGGTTTGTTCCATTTATCTCCCCACAAATGTCCCGCTTTCTCTTCCCGATCTTAAACACCTACTGGACTCCTTGCCGGAGCCTGCGCTCCTGCTGGGTGATTTCAATTGTCAACATACCCTTTGGGGTGATGTCCTGACAAACACCCGGGGTCGCCTTCTCGAACCGTTCATCCTCTCTTCTTCCCTGTCTCTTCTGAATTTTGATGAGCCTACTCATTTGGACTCCTGAACTCACACCCTTTCCTGTCTTGATCTTTCTCTTCGCTCGTCATCTCTTTACTTAGATTTGGAGTGGTGGGTTCTCGATGACCTCCATGGCAGTGACCATTTTCCCTTTCCTTGTTACCTTTTTCTCTTTTCACCCTCCCCTCTCCTTCCCTAGGTGGCAGTTTGCCGATGCTGACTGGTGCCTCTTTACTTTCCGTGCTAATATCTCCATTCTGCCTCTCTCCCACGCCCTCCTCCTTTTTCATGACACCGTCTTCGACGCTGCCCTCCGCTCTAGTGCTTGATCTTCCTCTCGGGGAATGCGGAAGTGCATTCCCTGATGGAATGTTGACTATGCTCGGGCTGTCCACTGTAAGCGTGCAGCCTGGATGAGACACTGAAGGCGGCAGACGGTTGAGTCTCCTCTTTTGTTTCAGAAGGAGAATGCGGTGGCCGGTAGGAGCATCCGTACAGCTAAACGTGCGTGTTGGATGTCTTATGTCTCCACCATTACGTCCGAAACTCCTCTGCCGCAGATCTGGAAACGTATCCGCAAGACAGCGGGTCCTCCACCTCCATGGTACTCCTGTGGCGGACCCGTTGCAGGTCGCAACGGGTCCGCCACAAGTGGGAATTGGGCTCCTACTTTTCATCGGTTAGCTCTGGTTCTCATCTTCCTCAATCCTTCCTTCTTCGTAAGCCTCTTCTTGCATGTCGACCTTTGGATTTCGGTACCCATCTCAGCCTTCCCTATAACGATCCCTTCTCTCTCTGAGCTTCAGTCCGCCCTGGCACTCTGCGGTTCTACAGCGGCGGGCTCCGATGGCATTCATTATGAGATGCTTGGCCATCTCCCTCCGTACACGTCTCAGAATTTACTGAGTCTGTATAATCGGGTCTGGGAGTCGTCGTCAGTCCCTGAAGACTGGCTCCATGCTGTTGTCCTCCCTGTTCAGAAACCAGGGTCTCTTGGGTCATCCCCCAAGGACTTCCGTCCTATTGCCCTCACAAGTTTTGTCTGCAAGCTCTTTGAATATATGGTTAACGTTCGTCTGATGTGGTTCCTGGAACACTACCACCACCTCTCCCCTTCTCAATTTAGTTTTCGCAAGTGCCACAGCACCACGGATGTCCTGTCCAACGGATGTTCGTACTGCTTTTGCTGCGAAGACCTCCTTTGTTGCCGTCCTTATTGACCTGGAAAAGGCTTATGGCACTACCTGGCGGTATCATATTCTGTCCCAACTTCAATCTTTTGGCCTTCGTGGGAAACTCCCTCTCTTCCTCTAAAGTTTCCTCTCTTGTCGTTCCTTTCGAGTGAGGCTTGGTACCACTCTCTCTCTGCCTCTTTTAGGCAATATGAGGGTGTACCCCAGGGTAGTAATCTGAGCACAATTCTTTTTCTAGTTGCCCTCAATGGTCTTTTATCTTCCCTTCCTTCTGGCGTCTTCTCCGCTCTCTATGTCGACAATCTTACCCTTTGCTGTCGAGGTGATGATTCGCCTCCCCTTCAATGGCGGCTTCAACTTGTGATTGATGCTGTGTCGTCTTGGGCCACTGATCATGGCTTCAAGTTCTTTACGTCTAAGACTTGTGCGATGACCTTTACTCGGAAGCATGGTCTTCGTCCCTCTTTGTTGCTTTATGGTCATCCCCTTGTGTACAGGGATTCTGAAAGCTTTTGGGGTTAATTTTGACACTCATTTGTCTTGGTGGCCCCTATCTCATACCTGCGAGTTGAATGCTCTAAAGCCCTTGCCCTCCTTTGGGTTTTGTCCCATACTTCTTGGGGGACAGATAGGTGCACGCTCCTCACTTTATATTCCTCTCTCGGCCTGTCTAAACTTGATTATGGTTGCCCTGCTTACTCGTCTGCTTTTCCTTCTACTCTTCGCCGCCTTGATGCTTTGCACCATACTGGGTTGCGCATTAGTTCTGATGCCTTTCATTCGACTCCTGCCCTCAGCTTATATGTTGATGTTGGCTTCCTATCTCTCCAGGATCGCCTTGATCGCTACTGTCTTCGCTATATTGCGCGGTCCTTACAACATCCTTCCTCTCGCCTCTGTCATGCTCTGACTTTTACACCCCCTGTAGTTCCTGTTTCTCTTCACCACCTCTTGAGGTTATCTTGAGCCCTCTTTCTGTCCGGCTATCTTGCTTACAGGATTCTCTATCAGTTTGTATTTCTAGTTTTTCTCCTCATATTGTTCCTTCCTTGCTCCCGTGGAGAGTCCCCCTTCCAAAGTTTTGTACATCCTTGACCCGCATCACTAAAGCTTTTACCCTTCCTATGGTTCTGAAACGCCTTTTCCTTGAGCACTTTTCTTCGCACTCCCGCTCCGTTTCCATCTTCACCAATGGGTCTAAATCTGTGAACGGTGTAGGCTACTCTGTTGTTTTCCTTATATGTGTTGTCTCCTTTCAGAGACTACCATCTTTACAGCAGAACTTTATGCTATTCTCTATGCTCTCCGTCTCCTGCTTTCTCGTTGTGAATCCTCCTTTTTAGTTGTAGTTGATTCTCGTAGTGCCCTCATGGCTCTAGGGTCCTTTAATCCTGCCCATCCGGTGGTCATCGAGATTCAACATTGGCTGTTTCTTATCTCTAGTAAATTTAAATCCGTAGAGCTTTGCTGGGTTCCCAGCCATATTGGTGTTTCCTTAAATGAGCATGTGGATGCTGCCACTAGAGAGGCTATCCACTCTTGTCCCATCTCCCATAAAGGTATTCCTTATTCCGGCTTTTACCCAGTTATCCATTCCTCCATCTTTGCCCGTTGGCAGGGTTGTTGGTCTTCTGCAGTTGGTAACAAGCTGCATACTCTTAAGCGTAGTGTGGGGAAAACGGCTCTAGCAATGTTGTCTTGCCATACTCGCTTAACTCATGGTCACTTAATGGAGTGTGCCTGGCTCCTTATTGTCCAAATTGCTTTGTCCCTCTTATAGTCGTGCATATCCTTGTTGAATGTCCTGATTTGCAGGACGAACGTGACTTCCTTTCCAACCGTCCCTCGCAGTCACTTGGCCCTCAATAGACTTCTTGGTAAATCTTGAGGTTATATCTTGAGATGATTTCGGGGCTTTTTAGTGTCCCCGCGGCCCGGTCTGCGACCAGGCCTCCACCCCCAGGAAACAGCTCGTGACAGCTGACTAACACCCAGGTACCTATTTTACTGCTAGGTAACAGGAGCATAGGGTGAAAAACTCTAACCATTGTTTCTCGCCGGCGCCCGGGATCGAACCCGGGACCACAGGATCACAAGTCCAGTGTGCTGTCCGCTCGGCTGACCGGCTCCCTATCGGATGATAGGGAGTGAATCGGATACTTTTGAAATCGTTCGCCTTGTGCGTTTCTGTTCTCGTATTGGCATCCTTGGTGATATTTAGCGCCCTCTGTTTATTCCACACATTTGGTGGTGATACATAGCCTTCCCGGTTTGGTGCTATCTTTTGATAATTACTTATTTCTGGCACAATCCTATTTTCTAAAATATATGTTCACAATCATAATTTGAACACATTACCTATATTAAGCTTTACTCTCCTTTGCGAAACATAAACATGAAACCTAATACAGAATATTAGCAATAAAGAAATAGCTTTTCTGTCTCCTGTTTAATTTACATGTCAACTGTCATTCTCTCTCCCATTTTCATACACAATGCTGAATTTGTATTACGTATGCAAATGTTGCAGCCGAAGCCTAATCTGTAGCACAGATAGCTGCTGAATTTTGATCTTGTACTACATTAACTTGTGTACAAGAAGGTACAATGGATTATGCGGACAATGCACATTGTTCCAAACCAGTTTCGTGTAGTGTTTTGGGACGCACTCAAGACACATGCTGCATGCTGGGGTACACTGCATGCTGTCAGTGTACCCCAACCCAAAAAATTGTCTTGTCTTAATGACAAAAGTTCAACATTATTGTGTATGTTTGCCTGTACGAGAAAACTTATTAAATTGTTTTACAGGAGGTGTGGTTGGAGGTGCAGAAGGTGTGGAGGATGGTGTGGAGGATGAATCCGCCAATACCACTGCGCGCGTCTGTTCTTCTTCACAGTCACCTTTGGCAAGGGCTCTATCCTGCAGCCGAGAATGACATAACTAGAGTCCTGTTGGCATTACTTGGCGCAAAGTGTCCCAGGATCTGTCTTGTCCGGTTCGAGATGGAAGTGGATAGGATCATCTTTCCAGAGGTGTTTTCCTCATCTGGAGTGTACTCTAGACAGGACCACCTGCAAGAGCTAGATATATCCGGCATAGATTTGGGCTTCAACTGTAAATTTTTGGTATTCCTGCTGCCATGGTGCCATAAACTTGCGGCACTAAAGTTAGGGGTGAATGTTACTTACAATATTTTATATGCGGCACAGGCTTGTCCCATCACAGTTCTTCATATAAGTCAACGAAAGAATTATATGCCAGAACTGACTGAAAATAATTTGATGGAAATGTTGTTTGGTATCAGAGATAAAAGTGCGATGGAGGCTTTGGATGACCTGGAGCAAGGAAGGCTCATGAACCTTAACCCAACCTGGCCACGACTGGAGGAGTTTAGTGTCGGACGTTTTCCTGTATCAAACGAATTCTTCCTCATCCTCTTGATAATTTTCCCTAGATTTCGTTGTTTATCGATCAATTTGCAAAACAATCTTTATGTAATAAATTATTACTATAACTTGCTACTAAAATTTAAAACACTACGTAAACTCTCGATAAGCACCTGCACCACAGTCGTCAACACCGGCTTCATGCAGGTGTTAGCGGATGTTGCTCCGATCCTTGAGGAGGTGAAAGTGGCTGGCAGATGTAAGGATATGATTATGATTCTTAAAGAAATACTGCCGCTCAATAACGGCTTCCCTTTTCTCCATACTCTTAGACTTTACGAATTAAAACACTTCGGTCCAGGAGAGCCTCCCTTGGAAGCCTTCATGGCTCTTGGCCCGCGTTTGAAGTTGCTCGAGGTGTTTGGTGGAAAGTCTCGGCACATACGGGTGAAAGATATAGTCAAATTTCTTACAGTCCTCCCGGTTCTTGAAGAAGTAACCATTGGCTTTGATTTCGGGTTCAGGTGTATCCAGTGTAGTAATATCTCACCTGCCGACTACAACATCAAGATTGATAACGTAAAAACCTTGAGGTGCCAGTCTCGCTTTCTGACGCACAAGAGCGTCAGGTGCCTGCTGAAGTACTTCCCTGCCCTGCAGGAAGTGGTTATACTTGGCAAGGTTGATGACGTCAACAAGGTGCTGGCCTTCCTGAAGTTCTTGCCAGAGTTGAGAGCGGTTAAAGTGGTGGTGATGGAGAAGATGAGCGTGGCAGACCTGTGTGAGATGCCCAAAGCAAGCCTCGACCAGCGGCCCTGGGAGCTCCACGCCAACACAGCCTCCGTCAGCCCCGCCGACAGACGCAACCTCATTAACTCTGGCTGGACTTTCCTGCCTGTAACCCGCTACGACTACCCCTGAACAGTAATGACTACCGACGATTACCCTGGGGGTCATGACCTTGTAAACTCTTAGCAGGGGAAAATTTTAATTTATTTTGTTTGTGATTGTAATGCCTCATTTTCGAAATAATTTTTATTACTGAATTTTTACCAGCTTGACTGTTTTGTACGAGGCTTTCATGGCAATTCATGTAACTTGATTTTGTAAAATTGTAAGTTTTAAATATAGTTACTAATTGTATATTGCAAGTGAAGCATGAAAAGTTGCAGATTTCATAGTGTGGCGCATAAGGTCAAACTTCCTGAGAAAAACTGCCAACGTTTTTAGTATAGTAAGTTTTTTAATTTTGATAATGTAGAAGATTATAAACTGATGAATAATGACACGTTCTGGACAGTTGATTACAATAATAAACTGTGAAACGTTTTGTATGGAATATATTTTTTTAAATAAAGATAATTGCCAACAGTAAATCGATATTACAAATCTTGAGCTGCACCTCTCTGTGCCACCTGCAGGTAGGTAGTGGTGGGGGTGGCTCATGCTCCTCTCATGCTGCCTGCTGCCCCCCCCCTTTCCTCTGTGCTAAACTAGGCAAGCCAAGGGTAGACTGGGATAGTGTTCATCATTGGGGGATTCATTACCTGCATCCACCAGCCATATATACCTATATCCCACCCCCCCTTCCCTGTCGTGCCTGTTGGCGCCGTGAGGGGGCTTGGTGGTCGGCTGTCGGAGTGTGATGCTCCATGAGACAGTCCTGTCCTTTTGTAGCCTTATGCTCCTGCTGCTGACTTCTTTAATTTTGCCAGATCGCTTTTCCTTCTCTTTATATTTCGTTTCCCCTCCCCATCCGGCCCGTTGGCGTCGTGAGGGGGCTTCGTGGACGGCTGCCGGAGTGTGATGCTCCGTGGGACGGTCCTCTGTCCTTTTCTGGCCTTGCACTCCTGCTGCTGTCTTCTCTAATTGTGCCGGATCGCTTTTCCTTTTTCATTGTTTCGTTTTTCTCCCCCCTCTTCTCCTATCTGCTTGTCGTTTCCTGCCGACCTTTTGCTTGTTTTGGATTGTTTCTTTGGACTTCTTCTATTTTGACGCCCGGGTGCTTGAGGAGGCATACTCTTTCACCCGTAGAACTGTTGTACCCGACGTCTCGAGCGAGGGGAACCTTTTATTGTCAATACCCCTTTCGTCGCTGAACCCGATCTCGACGGACTGACGGTTCTTAAGGTGGCGTTTGAGGGGCGTATACTCACGACGCACCCCTAGGGGCCCCGGCATGATCGGCGATAGCTTCCTGTTGGGTGTCCTGCCTCTAATTGTGGCTCCATGGTAGGTATGGGGGCACATTCGTGAATGAATTTATCACTCTTCGTACCTATGTCGTTGAATGCTTTTGTTGTACCTTCTCAGGCTCGTGGGGTGGGCGACCAAGCCCCCGAGTCGGCCTGTCTTGGAAGACCGGGCCCTGTAGCCTCCGCTGCATTGGGCCCCGACTTTGCTCCTCCTTTGGCCTCTCTGACTCCTTCCCCTGGCTCCCTTCCCTCCTCTGTGGTTAGGTCGAGCCCCAAGCTCCCAGTGGTGACTACCTCGTCCCCTGGCGCGGCTCCATCTCTAGTTGTAACTACTGCGCCTTTTAACCCCTCTCTCTCTGGGGGTTCTCACCGCCGTCCTCGTCACGGCCGCCCTCGCTCGATTCCTTCCAGTTCTGCTACCTATCAAGCCTTGTTTGGTCCCGCTTCGTGGGCCAAATATTTTGATCTCCTCCCTCTTGATTCTGCGCCTCCTGACGATTTCTCCCTCCATCGACATCTCGTTGATTCCGTGGATGCCTCCATTACTTTCAACCCCACTCGTCTCGGTACACGTGTCGTTGCTGCTCCTTCTCAGGATGCTGCTTCCCGCTTGGCTGCCTTATCCTGCCTTGGCGAGACCCCTGTTCGGGTTTCGAAGAACGCTCAGTTGAATGCCAGTGTTGGCACTATTCTGCTCCCGCCCCATGTTGCGACCGGTGTTCGGGACCTGCGCGACTGCCACGACGATATTCGACATATCCTTGCTGCCCAGGGCCATTCTATTCTCCAGGTGGACACGTTTACTCGTCCCCCTCGTGGTAGTCGCCGTCAACCCCTCCGGGTTGTGAAGATTACCTTTGATGGTAGGACCCTTCCACCCTCTGTCATTCTTGCTGGTGCCAGGTGCTCTGTCCAGGAGTACATTCCTTCTTCTCGGCTCTGTAACAAGTGCTGGAGGTTTGGGCATGGTGCTCTCCGCTGCTCTGGGACTGATCCTTTGTGTGGTGGCGAAGGTCACTCTAAGTCGGAGTGCACTTCTCCCCAGGCTCGTTGCCTCAACTGCGGTGAGGCCCATCCTACCTTCTCCCGTGCGTGTGTCCATTACAAGCTTGAGGCAGACGTCCTCAACTTGAAGCACCAGGAGCGTATATCTTTTCCTGAGGCGAGACGCCAGGTTCGCCGGCTCCCGCCTTATGCTAATATCTCTTACGCTCGCATGTTGCGCTCTTCCTCTCCTCGTCCTTCCCGCCTTCCTCAGACTCTCAACCGTTTCCAGGCCTTGGACCCTGATACGCCCACTGCCCCCTCCTCTGTTCCTTTGGGTTCTCTCCCGAAGGCTCCACCTTCTGGTCCTCTGACTGGAGTTCCCCTTCTTTCTACGCGGTCTGTCATGTCGCCTGTGTCTTCTTCCTCGTTTCCCTCCGTTCCTCCTTCCCATCCTTCCCCTCCGTCTCCTGACTCTCCCCGCCGCCTGTCGGTGTGGGCTGATGTCCATCGCTCTCCAAACGGCCGTCATGTGTGCTCTCGTTCAGCTTCTGTTGAGACGCTAGAATCCGTTGCCCAGTACGTGGTTGCTGGGACACCTGTCTCTCTAAGTCAGAAGCGTAAGCCTGGCTCCTCTCCTTCCTCCTCCCCGGCGGGTAAGAAGGTTTCGCTTTCTTCCTCGGCCCCTACTTCTGCCTCTCTCGCTCCTTCCCCTCCCATTTCGGTGGTTGCGCCCCCTGTTCCTGCTATGGAGGTTTCATTAGCCCCCCGCTTCCCTCTCGGTTGCTGCCCTTGCTGAGGTGCGCTCCCCTCTTTCTACCCCCCCTCTTTCTACCCCCCCCTCTTTCCTGCTGCTGTCCTTGACTGCTCCTCTCTGTTGTCTCCTCCTCCTCCTCCTCCGGACCCCGCCGCCCACCTCTGATCTGTTCTCCCGTTTCCTTCCCTCCGTCTTTGCTCAGTTTACCCATGCCCCCTAACCCTGGCTTTGCTGACCCTGATCTCGACCCTGATATTCTTTAACGTGCTCTGTTGCTCTTTCGCCTTTGTTTCTTCCTTGTTCTCTGTTTTTGTCCTTTCTCTTCTCGTCGTTGTCCATTCTTCAATGGAACGTTCGAGGTTATTACGCCGATTTCCTCGAACTCCAACTTCTGATTTCGCGGTTTTTGCCCCTTTGTGTCTGTCTCCAGGAGCCGATGCTTGGTGCTCGTCCTGATCGTTTTCGTGGCTATTCCTTTCTCTCCCCTTCCCCCCCCAGCCGTTGCTGGGGCTTCTAATTCTTGTGCTCTCTTGATTCGTGCTGATGTTCCCTTTGTTCCTTTACTTTTTCCTTCGCCTCTCCATTGTTCTGCTGCTCGTATCTTTGTGGGGAAATGGTACACAGTTTATTCCATTTATCTCCCCTCCGAGTGTCCCGCTTTCTCTTCCTGACTTTTCCTCTCTAGGAAACACCACCTAGACTCCTTGCCGGAGCCTGTGCTCCTGCTAGATGACTTCAATTGTCGTCATTCTCCTTGGGGTGACGTTCTGACGAATACCCGGGATCGCCTTCTTGAGCCGTTTCTCCTCTCTTCTTCCCTATCTCTTCTGAATTCTAGTGAGCTCACTCATTTGGACTCTCAGACTCGCACCCTTTCTTGTCTTGATCTTTCTCTCTGCTCTTCATCTCTTTACTTAGATTTCACGTGGCAGGTTCTTGATGACCTCCATGGAAGTGATCATTTCCCCATCCTTGTTTCCTTTTTCTCTTTTCGCCCTTCCCTCTCTTTCCCTAGGTGGCAGTTTGCTAAGGCGGACTGGACCCTATTTACCCTCAGTGCTGCTCTCTGACCTCTCCCTTCTGCCTCTCTCTCGCGCTCTCTTCCTTTTTCATGACACTGTCTTCAACGCTGCCCTCCGCTCTATTCCTCGCTCTTCCTCTCGGGGTCCACGGAATTGCGTTCCCTGGTGGAATGCGGACTGTGCTCGGGCTGTCCGCTGTAAGCGTGCAGCCTGGAAGAGGCACCGCCGTAGGCAGACGATCGATTCTTTTCTTTTCTTTCGGAAAGCGAGTGCGGTGGCCCGTAGGGCCATCCGTACGGCTAAACGTGAATGTTGGGCATCTTATGTCTCAACAATTACGTCCGAAACTCCTCTGGCCCAGATCTGGAAGCGTATCCGCAAGATAGCGGGTAAGTTCGTTCCCGATGTTTCACCGGTCCTTCACCTCCATGATACTCTTGGCGGACCCGTTGCAGGTCGCTTCCGAACTGGGTTCCCACTTTTCTTCTGTTAGTTCTGGTCTTCATCTTCCCCAATCTTTCCTTCTTCGTAAACCTGTCCTTGAGTCTCGTCCTTTAGATTTCTGCACTCGTCTTCAGCTTCCCTATAATGATCCCTTCTCTCTCTCTGAACTTCGTTCTGCCCTGGCCCTCTGCGGTTCTATGGCGGCGGGCTCCGATGGTATTCATTATGAGATGCTTCGCCATCTCTCTCCGTACACGTCTCAGTATTTACTGAGTCTGTATAATCGGATCTGGGAGTCGTCGTCAGTCCCTGAGGACTGGCTCGATGCTGTTGTCCTCCCTGTTCGCAAACCGGGGTCTCTGGGTACTTCCCCTAAGGTCTTTCGCCCTATTGCCCTCACAGGTTGTCTGCAAACTCTTTGAATGTATGGTTAACGTTTGTCTGATGTGTTCCTGGAACACCATCAACTCCTCTCCTTCTCAATTTGGTTTCCGCAAGTGCCGCAGCACGACAGATGTCCTGGTGAACTTGGAGGTCTATATTCGTACTGCTTTTGCTGCGAAGACCTCTGTTGTTGCCGTCCTTTTTGACCTGGAAAAGGCTTACGACACCACTTGGCGGTATCATATTCTATCTCAACTTCATTCTTTTGGCCTTCCTGGTCGTCTCCCTCTCTTTCTCCGCAGCTTCCTCTCTCGTCGTTCCTTTCGGGTGCGCCTTGGTACTGCTCTCTCTGCCTCTTTTCAGAAATACGAATGTGTGCCCCAGGGTAGTGTTCTGAGCACTACTCTTTTTCTGGTTGCCCTCAATGGTCTTCTTTCCTCTCTTCCTTCAGGTGTCTTCTCCGCTCTCTATGTCGATTATCTTACCCTTTGCTGTCAGGGTGATGATTCGCCTCTCTTTCAGCGCCGGATTCAACTTGCAATTGATGCCGTGTCGTCTTGGGCCACCGATCATGGCTTGAAGTTC